GGGGGGGAAAGGCAGCTCGCAGAAAGAGGAATCCTGAAAGTTTCCGCTGGCTCTCCTCATATTTTCTGTAGTTTGATCTGGGGTGTTGGAGTCACATCACGGAGGGCATAATGCCATCTCCGCGGGTCTGTATTTGTAGGATCAAAATATTAAGGGGCATTCTTTCTACTTCGACGGGTTTCCCAGCAAGGGCTCAGAAAGGAGCAACACGGCTAACTGGCACCTTTAAGTACCAAGCTGTGGGGCAAAGGATGTATTGCAAGAACAGGTGAGAGTATGCTTGGCATAGCTAGTATTTATTGGCATTATCCAAAAGGAAATAAGATAAAGATAAAGAAATGTCAGGTATTCCATGACACAATTGTCGCACAAACTGCCTTCAATCAAGTTGTTCTGTTTTCAGGGCTCTTTTGCAAGCATCTTCCACCCGCTCGCTTTGAAGAGGGAGATCTCCTGGGTTGTTCTGCATTTCCAGGGACGATCAAGTTCATCCTGAGAGAAAAAAGTCACTTTATAAGGAGAAAAAGTGCTTCTTCGTGGAGTTCAATGTATTTTTTTAAACGCCGTTATCTAGAGAAAAGGCCTCTCGTAACAGATTCCTAGATCGTGTCAAATTATAACAAACTGAATCGCAAGAAGCAATTACAAAGCAAATATTGTGATCGGTGTTGTGGGTAAAATCGGAGCCGGGTTTATAGAGGAATATTAACTCTGATTTTCTTTCTTTCTTTTTTTTTTTAAATCAACAGTGATTAGATTTGTGTTAAGTCTAAAGACCTTTTCCTGTAGATGGCGTCCTTTGGGTACTGAGTATTCAATAATAATACAGTCGTACTCAGGAGACTTTATTAAGGCTTAGATAATTAAAAAAAAAAAAAAATTTAATAATTTTTTTAGTTATGTATTTATTGAAAATGAAAAAAAACCTTGATTTATGGTAAGCAAAAGTGTGTTTCTCCTTCACGTGGATGCAAATAAAAACTGTTTGAATAAATAAGTTGTTTCTGAACATTTTGTTGTCAAAGTGTTAAATGTCCCCGTCATTTTTATTCAAACACTAACATGATTACAGCCAATTATATATTCACCAGTGTTCTTTATTTTAGAGTAATTGTACTTGTCACTAATAAAACAGAGACATAATGGATCGCTACTGTTCTGAATTTTAAAGCAATTTTCTGTAATTTGATTGAATTATACATCGTCTCCGCTACTTTTTTTATTTCTATATTTTGAAATCCTATTTTCTTGAAAATTGCAGCTCTATTCCTGTTTTGTTGTTCCTGAAGTAACGAAACCTTCTGTAACATTTATAAATAGAGCCTCGTCCCTTTTGAAATGTGGAAAATCATAATTTCAGCCCTAGCATACTGAAAGCTTTAGACTTCACATACGAAAGGCCGGAGGAGCGCCTCATCCAGAACACTTGGCTCAGCGCGGTGTCCTCCTTTGAGAGGAGAAGCAGAACATAAGCAGAGAAAACAAAACCGCGACGTGCATAGGAAGGTTTGATCACTTTATTGCGATGATTTGGTGCGCTTCTTGGGGCTCAAACATAGAAGCACGCCAAGACAAGCAGTTCAGTTGCTAATATTTACCACCGGAGGACACGTAAAGACACGGAACACTCCTCCAAGCAATTAGAGCGACTATCCGTATACCGTCCGTCTATTCTTTTATGTGGCGATTGTAAGTAAGAAGCCCTGGAATGACTTGGCTATCTTTAGGCACAGACAATGGAGAGGCAGAACGATACAGGAGCGTGTGGAGGTACCGCACACGCGTGGAAAATATTGCGCTGCGTTCTTATACTGCTCCTCGGGTTGTTTTGCTGAGGATGAGCTCACAGAGGGTTAGTTTTTTGTTGTTGTTTTTCAAAGCCGAAAACATGCCTTTAATTTAGCAATTGTATCAACCATCAACGCGATGATATACGAGCTGCCTTGTCGCCAAACACAAATCAAAAAATGATACAAAGGCTTTCACAAGTTAATTTCATATGACAAAACACGTGCCCACCACAGCAGATAAAGTTAAACCACCGTTTGCAAACCGTGCGGTTGCGTGAAAAGGTATCTCTTAGGTACGCGTACCACACGAATGTTTATTCTGCGATTCTGTAAGGACAAAATAAGGGAAGGCGCGGAAATGCAGGTGGCTCCCTGCGAGAGCCTGCCAGCGAAGCCTGAGCAGGGCCCGATCCCGACCCTCAGTGAGAACACGCTTCTTGCTTTTGTGGATTCACAGTTTGATATAACCACAGAAATTAGCTTGTAGTCGCCTTGGAAGGAAAAAAGAACGTGTTCTACCCCTAAACGGATATCTTTTTTATTAATTCCGACGTGTATAAAGACTTGTGAGCCTTTTCTTTACCCTTTCCTTGATGTTTTAAAATGAGTGTGAAAATAAAGTGTAATGACATCCTCTAATAGTATTCTGCTAGTAGGCAAATGGAAATTATTTATTTGTGTGAGTTTCCGGAGCTACGGCATGATTTCATTATTTAGGTGGAGTTTATAGCTCGATTATAATGAACACTGTTCTCTAAAAATTTCCTAGGAAACATAACCCCTGTCTGTGCGTGTGCAAGCCTATGCGAGCATTCCATCTAAAAGGTGGAGAGGAGAAAAGACACAAAGGAGATGCGTCCCGGGAGGACTCTCTTTCAATGTTTTTCCTCTCCGCATTGTCAGTGCACGGAAAGTCTGTCCGCAGCCGCTCCTCTTTCTTGGTCAAATTATTGTCGCGGCAAAACCCCAGGCTTTAGCGAGGCACCGTCCGTGCTCGGTGGGAGGGACACAAATGGGATTTAACTTGTTGCCAGTCATTTTTGTGTGTTTGTTTGTTTGTGCTGGTGCTTTAAAAGCGAAACAAATTCCAGAAACAAAGCGGGGGGG